ATCTTGGAAACAACTGTGATGATTTGTTTGTAGGCACTGTTGAGTTCTAAACAGAATTGGTACATCTAGAAAACAACTGATGTCTGCATATGATGTTTTGTTAATGTACTCTACTCACATTTTCTGTAGTAGCTAACGTCTGCAAACATTCTCTTTCCATTCCACCAAAGCTAGATAGAAGAGATGAAACAAGTTTACATAAGTCCTTTAGTAGAAATGGCTTAGCACTTTGATAAATAGTCCAAAAATGTTGTGTCATTTTTTAAACTGAAAACAAAAGATAAGTTTCGCTGGCATACCTTTTTTACAGGGTAAAGTATAATGTGGTGTGATTTTGTTTTTGGCTTTGTGAATTTTCCCATTTCCATGGCATCAACATGATTCTTTTAAAATCTTTCCAAATTTGTTAAATTCTTTGTGCTTCTTATTTATTTTCAAGCTGTCAGTGTTTGCATAATTGAATTGGTATCTTTTGAGACTTAACAACTTTTAGATATACTTCTCTCCTTGCTGATAAATCACCAAAAATATAAAACAACACGAACTACTTAATACTAAATCCAAACTCTACCCAGTTGCTGACTCTCCATGCTTCAATGCATTATACATGATGTGTAAACAATAAACATCAAGGTATAGCAACTTACATTTGAATATCTTGTTGCAAAAGGTTAAACAATTTCTAGTTAACTACTGGAACATGTGTTCATAGTTGCAACAGTCACATATGTCCAGCTTCTCTGTGGCTTGATAAAACTTGTCAAGCATAATATCAGCAGTTGCGTGACATAAAAAACAGGTGTAAGAGTATGTGAATGAGCATTTTCGAACTTCTCATTGCAATGTGTAACAAGATTTCTAATACTCTCATCAATGAACAAAGTATAATACTGAAGATTTTTTAAGGCAAGTGTATAATAGACAATTAATATAAGGCATCAATCTAAAGTAAACCAGATATGCAAACTTTGTGGGTTGACATGAAAATGTGTTGCTAAATGACATGTCAATGTCTTCCCAAGAGCTGTACAAATATTGGTTATTTACATATTATATCTAAGCATATAACAGTTCATTTTTTGATACATGTGGTGTGATGTTATTAAATCCTCGAGTTGATCGTTGTGCTGAAGGGACAGTTAAAAGATATAAAGACTGTATACTTCTAGCACCCTTTTCCTTCTCATTGGAAAGAGACGTTTCTGACTTGAAGAAATAAAACAAGTATTATATACATGCATTAAATTGCTTTGAAAATGTAATTTAAAATAACTTTCATGGTGGACCTTCAGAAATTTACAAAGGTACAGGGGTGTGGAATTTTAGAAAGAAATTTCTTGTCCAACAGACAAAATACTAGAAAAACCTATATCTCCTTAAATTTCTTGAAAATTTACTTGTTCCCTTCCCATCACACAAAAGTGGAATACATGTGTAACTGTTTTTATTTTTGTTTATGTTGCTGTATATCAGTTTTAGGTCTGTTAATTCATATTGAGTCCATTAGGTTTAAGATGTATATAACTTTTAGTTATACAGCATTTAAAATATCAATTTCTTATTTTGTTTGTTTTTTCACATGCCCACATTATAAAATAGTATTTATTCCCAGACAGCGTGTTCTACTGGATACGAATACTTAGGGATTATTTAATGGCCTCAAGCAAAATGTTAGTTTGGTTTACTGTTTCACAGACTCCATACTGATGGCTGCCATACCCTTCGTCACTACCAAATATTGCTTGGCAAAAATGTACTAGGTTACTTTTTAATGGTAAATTAATTCATATATACATCATTTGCATATTGTTTAATCTTGTGAACTGTGGTTCTGTCTGAGTGTTTGTCTATCTCCCATTTACATTTGAAAAGCTGCATATGCAGGCAAAGCTCAACATTCACTTTTGAAATGATAGGAGAATGAGCATAAATAATGTTGATGCCAAAATGTATTTCACAAGTAGGTTATTCTACACTAAATTGTTAGGAATTAATCACACTATCATTCACATTTTAAAATGTGATGTAATTTAAAGAATAAAAATGTAGATTTACCGTATGTTATTGTTGAGTGGCTCTTAGCACGACTGAATTGTTCAACAATTAATTTTTATGGTGGGCAGTATAAAGTAGTTCAGAGCTTTGTCTCTTAGTGAAACCAAGAGTGCAACACAACCCTTTTAAAGTCCATGAAATAATTTGAATTGTGAGATTAACTTAAACTTTTCCTGTCACCGGGGATGGGTAATATAATTAAATGGGGAATATTCAGCTACAATATCACACAAGTGTTTTTATGTTTTTGTTAATTAATGTATGTTCAAGAAATGAATGTTTTTGACCTTAAAGTCATAGTAAATCATTGCATACTTAACTTTCATCTGTGCTTTCAGGGCAGACTCCAATTTATTTATTTGTGTCAAGTTCTTTGCCACACAGTTTACAAGTTACCTTATGTCATGGCAAGATGCAATCCAAAATTAATATATTTCTGCATTTGCCTGAACTGTTTTTAGACATTTCTTTAGCATGTTGCATTGACCTACAACATTAAGACACAAGTCAAGGGATCAATTCAATGCTAAATGTCCAACTACTAATTGTAAGTGATGTAATCTAATGACTCATTGATGACACTATGAAATGGTTACAAGGCATGCTTACTATTAAACTAATCAGAGACTCGTGTATCTTACATTTCACTTCATTGATCAAAATATGGCCCCAGTTTATAACTAAAAAAACAAAACAGGCATAGTATTCCTTCGACAAAACTAAGGACATTTTAAGGGCCCTTAGAACTGTAAATTAAGGAGTTTTTAAGGACTATGGGATCTTTGTAAAACAGCAGAGTTGTATAAAATGTTTGTGCCTTTAGAAACAGTTATAATGACGTTTGTAGCCACTGTTGAATTATAAACAAAGTTGGAACATGGTGGATGAAATTGAATTGTCAATGAAGTTACTACATTCTGGGAATAATTATGATGAAAATATTGCTGTTGTGGTCTGCCAATCAGCATTTATTTTTTGAAATTCATAGCAGTTATATTTAATATTCAACCATCATTACAAGTTACAGTTTTCCCTTTCTCATTGTGGGGTTCCGAAGAACTGAAGTTACCATGGACACATTCCTCCCTCTCTGACTTTTTGATATGATTAAAACATTATTTTCTGTCTAAACGTTTTGCAAACAATTCCTTAACATTTTAAAAAATCATAAATGATAAAGCACAGTAAAACATTACAGAAATTTTGATTCATTTTTCACATGTTAGGTACTTCTAGATATATTCCATAAAACACGCCATTGTCATTATTGAATATGAAACCCTACAGGTGTTTTTAATTAATTGAATATTATAACTTTATGTGCTATATTAAACGATTGGGTTTTAAATAAATTATCTTGCAGGTGTTGCTGCTTAGTAATGCAAATTTTTCTATCTAATGGTTAAAGGTGTTTCAGGTAGATGATTTTACATGTGGCCTTCTGTGTGAAGATGTTGTTACTGTGAAATTTGGAAAGTGTTCTTGTAAATAACATTGTTGCTTTATTCCTCTATCTTGTATTTAGTGTAAGTAATACACCATTTAAACCACAATTATAATTTATTTCAAAAACAAAGCTCTTTTATTACATGTTTCCGCCATTATCAGGCCTGAACATCTAGCAAAATAGCTATGTAATTGCAATGAAAAGTAATTTGGTTTAACGCAAATGTGCACAGGAATTCCACACTTATGATGTGTATCTACGTAAAACGTCGCAAGCTTTTAATCAAGTGTACAAGTCGGATGCATTACAGAAGTATTTGTACTCAAGTTATGTCTGTAAATTGATGTTAGTCTTACTGTGACAAGCCGGGGTGCAAGGTGATGTTTGTGTGAAGAATAAAAATGATTTTCTCTTTTGTACAGTCTGCATATTCCATTTTTATAATCCCTAGAACCCCCAAAATGCATATCTACAGGTTTTTTCAGCACCCTTATATATTGTAACTGATGTTACTCTCCTGTACTTAATCAATTTTGGGTAAAATGAATAGTTTAAACCTGATATCAACTCCATGTTTAATGGCACTCTGTAAGAGGTTGTGGCTGATATCGTGTCACTGCTGATGTTTGAGGTGAAGGCTTTGTTATTGTTTCTAGTTTGTGCCTCTTTCTTACAGCTTGTCTTTAATGAGGGTATTTGGTGACGTATGTGGTTGTGTTGTATTCATGCAAGTAAGCACCAATTGAAACTACCTGTAAGTGTGTTAAAATGTGTATTAAGTTAGTACAGATTATTCTCAAAATTATTCATTCAAAAATAAAATAAGATGCAAAGGTACTTGAATGCTGCATAGTACTAATTAACAGCAGTAAGTTTCTTTTCACCAGGTGGCAGGTCAGTTGTAACTGCAATAAAGTGGCATTGAAGCAGTAGAATATGTCATCCTCTTATGCCACATTTTGAACATATGGTGTGTGTGTGTGTGTTCAGTCACAGAAGTAGGCTTGCAGAGGTGTACTTGTATTCAGTCATGCTGTAGTGTTAGTTACAACTATACAAAATTTTCGTGCCTTTGAATTCATTCTTGAATGAATAATTTTGGTTCATATATTTCACTATTCATAGATACCTCCATGTAACTTCTGTTTTTATTCTGTATTATCATAATTCATTTTCCGCTGCTCTTTATACCTCTTACAAATGTTGTGGCCATACTTTGTGTGACTGCCTCGTATATTTTGAGGAAAGAAAAGTTTTGTTCTTCCCTGTGGCTTTTTAAGTAACTTAATTCTGCAATCCAATAAAAAAAACTGTACTATATTATTGTAGAAGCAGCTATTCATTTTAGTACAATTTTTGTTTAAAAATATTCTTTAACTTTTACACAAAGGTCTATAGTTTTAGATTTAATTTCATGAGCAAAAATTAAACTTCATTTCTAAGTGAATATTACATAATCAACTCTAGTTGGATGTATTTAAAACTAAGTATGTTTTATATGTAAACGTTTTGTTACTTTGACCTCAGGGTAGTGTAACATACGGTAATGCCATCTGTTGACATATCTCCTCAAACTTTACTTATTTTAGGGTGATGTTTTATATAAAACAAGTGATTGGGTCTGCTAAATTAGAATCCATTGTTCACCCCATTTTCCAAATCAGATTTATTATGTGGTGTATCGTATATATGTTAAAAGATGATGTGCAGTTCTGTAGATGTTTTATAATGAAGCATTCAGTTGTGCAGAAATAATGTCTTATTTTTAGTTGACAGTAACTATTTGAAATACTGAATCGTCATTTTCAAGGGGCAGATAATTCAACAACACTGATAAAGCTCACTACTTATAGATGTTAGAGAAGGTTGTGTTGCTTAATGTTCTGTAGAAATGTATATTACACTCTAGTCATAGTTCCTGTACCAAGTTGGATTTGAAAGTTCTAAATAAAGTTATCACTGTTTATGGATTTCTTTCTTTGTTACAGTAACAAAAGGAACCACACTTTATTTTCAGTCTTTTTTTTTTTTCTACTGATTAGATACAGCTCTGGAAATCATACGAATACAATGTACCAGGAAGAAACCCAAATAAAAACTTTGAAAATACACTACCTTATTCAGGTCTCAGTTGGTCAGAATGAAATATACTAATCCTCAAGGAATGTTTACTAACAAGATTGTTTCCTGTTAAGTACCTTCTTTGTAGGGTAACTGTCCAGTTATATAATTAAATCAAAAATGTACAACTTGGCTAACTCAACAATTTAGTTACTATAATTTGCAACTGTATTTAAAAATATTCTTTCTCTTGCCATACATTTAACAATGGAATACTAAACAAAAATATTATTTCTATTAAAAAATAAAGTAATAGTTGTTAAATGGCTTTTACACCTTCAATTGGATAAAATATAAATTAAATACTTGTTAATTTTAATCTATCTTTTGTAGTTCCTACCAAACTAAAATGCTGGTCCATTAAGACACCCTACAACAGCTGAAGTAGACCAACATAGGCACATTATAATGAGGACTGTTTCATTACAAAAAAAATCATTTTTCTGGTACTTTTGTAACTTCTTGTACATTGTCATCCATTTAAGAGTATACTATTCAGGATAGATATTCATGTATAAGGCCATTTTCATCTGTTCTCTGCAGTAAAGAACAAATTATTGGGGATTCCACCTATGAAAGAAAGATCAGTGAATAAATATACATATAGCTGTAGCATTCTCAGGATGTTTTACATGTAGATCAAAATATGTTCTTGACACCAGAGATATTTAGATTTAATAAACAAGCAAATGGACTAACACTTTTGCTACAGGCATCTTTTTCTGTATGTCAAAAGGTTTTAGTGAGTTAAATTCAAAATTTTATATGATGGTATACAAATAAGTATAGCATACAAACGTAGCTAATAATCCAAATTTTAATAATATATAAATTAAGTTTTTAATTTTATAATGCAGTATTAAAAAAAAAAAATCCTGAATTACCCTTAGTATGAGAATTGAGACATTTTTTTTCGAGGCATACCTTCTTTAATTTATTCACCACCCCTCCAAAGAGTACAAAATTTAATGGAAATTACTCATTATAATGTCATTGCTCAGGCAAAGCATAATTTTTATGGCCTCCAATCTTCTTTAGTTACAGAGCAATAAAATAGAAAATCAGAACCTCCTTATGCCACATTCTTTCTTTCAGAAATTGCCAATAGTTATCTCAAATAATGTCGTATTATGTTGTGTTCAAACTTTACTACCACATGACACACATGGATTGGCTTAGCTGAATTTTTAATAGCTCTTGTTGCATAGTTAGAAAGCTGGAAAAATTGTGATAGTTGTGGGACATTGTTTGCTTTTTTGTATGTTATTATTTCATGTTCTTTGGTGTATTATTTAATTAAATAAAAAAGTAGGGTTAATTGTCAAAAAAAAAGTAAGTCCTTTATTTCTTATTTTTCAGGTATATTCTTTATTTATTTATTATTATTAAAGTAACTAAAATGAAAATAAATTCTTTTTAGGTTAGGTAAAATAAAGAATAATAGTGCATTATGTAATTTGATAGAGTAACATCAGCTACACAATCACCAAGTGATGTACAACTTATATTTCACAAATATTAATTAGACATAGTTCAAAGGGCAATAAAACTCTTTAGAATAAACAAATTTAGTTCAATGTTACAATTTGAAGTTATTCTAGAAAGAAAAAATGGTGGTTATGATGTCAGTCAATTTGACAACAGGCCATTCTTGTACCTCAAACTGGATCATTGTAATGGGCAATTAATATCAGACCATGCAACTATTACAATAGACATAAGAATGAGTACATCTTAAATAATCTGAATATACTCATCTACATCCCTTGATTTTTAAATACGATCTCCTGGAAGTGTAAAACATGAGTAAATGTGCAAAGTTTTTAGGTAGGCCAGGAATGTCTTAATACATAAATGTAACAGTGTTTTACCAAGACAAACGTTTTGTAGGGTAATGATGGATATGGAAGAATGCAGCAATAAAGTGTTCTATCCTACTATCAAGTATTTAATGTTGATATGTTACTTATAGTAACATGCTGAAGTAAATAAACAACATACCCCAAGGATATATTCACAAGTTTTAGGTTCCAGTAGGTAGAGAGAGACTGAATCTGGATGTCCCTTTATGTCTTTACATCTGAAAGAAAAACACTAACATTTATTGAAGTACCAATTATACTCATTTCTTAAATGCTTTTTGGATTATCTGATTTGATACTTAATATTTCTCTGTAATTTACAAAAGTTCCTCAAAATGGAATATATGAACTTTTATTATTAATTCAATAGAATATGAGCAGATAAATTTAGCACTCCAGGTGTTGCAAGAAGGTAGGGAGTATTTTAGTGGTCCTATCCAAAGCTAAATTCTGAATAAAATAATAGTACTTCAGAACCACAAGAAGGAAAAAAAAAAGAGGACTTTAATGGTTATAACTAAACGTTCCAGCTCCGTTAACTCTATCTGCCTTGGCATCAGTTACTGCATGTCACGAGGTTTTAGTGGCTTACATTCAAAATTTTATTAAACTACTTTTTTTTTTTATGTTATACCAATTAGTACAACATAAAATCATAGCTAAAAAGTCCTGAATTTCCTCTAGTGCAAGAAAGGCAACATTTTCTGTAGGCATCCCATCTTCTCTATTTTATTCACCACCCCTCCAATAAGTACAAAATTTACTATAAAATCATCATTACTCAGACAAACCATAATTTTTATAGCTTTCAATCTTGTTTTGTTACAGAGCCATCAAATAGAAAATCAAACCCCTCTTGCCACACCTACCTGTCACATCCTCTCTTTCAGGATTTGTTAATAGTTCTCTCTTTGGTTTAATTCTATATTACGTTGTGTTCTGAATAAAAAATTGTCAATTTCTCTTTTAGTACAAGCTTCATTCCTACTGGAAAGATAACAATTAGCTTGGATGAATTTGTAATAATGCTTGTCGCATAGTTAGAAAGTCAGAAATGTGATAGGATATCCATTTTCATTTTCTTACATCAAGGGCATCTTTGTATTGAAATATGAGGAAAAACACATTTTTTTCAAAATTTTTTGGAAAAAGCATGGGGTGTAGCCTTGGCTGTTTGGTGAAAATATGAATTTCTTTGAAAAATGGAAAAAAAGTTCTTTTTCGACGCAAAATTAACAGAATGTCAACGGAAAACCCAAAATTGAGATTTTATAGCATTGAAGAAAAATATATCACATGAAAAGCTGAAAAAAATGAACTTTTGGTAACCCAGAATAAAAACAATCCAAAAGGTGGAGTTTATTTTATAAGAACACGTGATGGCCTTTTAGATGTTGGGATTTTGTTTGAATAATCGTATTTTGAAAGCTATTCCGAAGAAAAAAAAATACAGTAAAATCGAAGATAGCCGAAATTTTAATAACAGATTAAGAAATAACTATTGGGAATTTAGATGAAAGGATATCCATTTTGAAAGTCTTTCATCAAAGACATCTTTGTATTGAAATATGAGGAAATTGTCTGTTTTTACATGTTATTATTCTATGTTCTTTGGTGCATTATCTAATTAAATAAAAACCATTTTGTGCATTACTACCATTAGTATAAAAAAGTAGGGTTAAGTGTCATCGACAGTTGACAAAAAAAAGAAACATGGGTAAGTACTTTATTTATTGTTTTTCATTACTATAAAAGTAATTAAAATATAAAAATAGGTATCCCTTTAGGTTAGATTAGGTAAAATAAATAATAATAGTAATATAAAAATATTTCACGAGGCACTCACGTAAGCAGCTCGGAGTAGCTTGTGGGTAATGTAATTCAATAGCATAACATGAGCTTCACATTCCCCAAGTGATTTACAACTTATAATGAAATGTATTTAGGAGGTTTTAGAGATTATACAAATTAAATTGGAGATTTTTCAGATGAAGAAAAGTATTTTTAATTTTAACATGAAAATCACTTTGCACACGGACTATTCAAAACAAATACTCGATATAGTCACGGACAAATCTTTTTTTAGTTTATTAAAAAATACTTCACTAAAAATATTCATTGCAGGTGAAAAACTGCCAAATTTCGTTAAGATATACACACTATATAAAAGTTAGTTGTATCAAATCTATAAAGACTTTGAACGAGGTCAAACTGATCAAGCCCGTATTGAGAGTTAACTTAATACAAAATACTCGGGTTCATTAGAAAGGAAAGAGATGATTTGAGTAGTTGTATACATGGCTAAACATTCTAACTGCATTAACTGAACATAAAGTAACATCTAAATCCACAACTAAGGTATTTAAAATCACCTTTCAAAATACAAAATCTATTCTGATCTAAAGACCTATTACCTACCCCTACGTGTTCCAGGATTGTATATGAACAAACATGGTGGCTGTAATGGCACTTACATTGTCAAAACTATATGCCCAATTACACCTGTGAGCCTGCAAACATATGGGAATATGCAGCAGAACTGGCAAAAAACTATGAAATCCAGATTTCACAATTTGCAAACATAGTGAAAACACCAACCACCCCATCTTGATTACAAATTTTAAAGTCATCTCATCTGTATCATACAATATTGAACTTTTAATTAAAGAAAGTTTATCTATTATAAATGAACTCCCAACTTTAAATAATAACACAACTTCACTACAATTAAGTCTGTTCTGAATACTTGGATAATATTGTTGCATTATCCTATCCTTTATTTATTTGGTTGTTTTTGAATTCATTTCATCCTTTTATTCTGTATTTTAATTACTTTTTAGAAAATGTTTAAACTTTATAAATATTTGTACCTAATCATCTACATTGTTCAATATAGCTTGCTGAAGATGGAATATATGTATTCCGAAACATTGAAAAATTGAATGTTTGTTACTGTACACAGACGTGTCAAATGTTCATTGTTGCTGTCGTCATTTTGTTGTTCATCAAGGAAAGAGAATTTGAGTGGTTCTATCTATACCTAAAATTTCCAGCTCCAGTAGTTTAACAAAAAACAACAATACTCCAGGTTTCACATGAAACTTTCTAAACCTATTAATGTTATTCAAATAAAATGAATACTCCAGATCCACAGGAAGGAACAGAGGTAATTTGAGTGGTGCAATCCATTTGCAAGGCAAGTTCATTGCAAAAAATCTGATAGAGTACTGTTTGATGTAGAATCTTAATAGCATGTTTCAACATCAAATTCTAAAATATTTTTCCCACAAGATGCGAGTGAACTGAAACTGAACATGACTGCCTCCCTGGCAGATCCACTACATCTTTTCAATTTTGTGCAAGTTTGTAAGAACATAATTTGATGTAAATAGGCTAATTAGAAGCATTCAGTAGTACCAACTTGCATGTCATATAACTAACATATTGAAGTAACCGGCTCTTTAATTGTCTGTAATTTTTATTATAATCTGAGCTAGTGTGACATCAAACACTAGTTATTTCAAGAAAATTACCACAAATATATGCATGTAACATTATGTAAAATTACAAGTCGTGACAAATTTAAGAGTTCGACAATAAAAAAGTTTATATTTTCTGTAACAACCCAAAGTGCTAAAACATATACCATCTACATTAAACTTTTCTCAAACAAATTCTAAAAGATCGATATCTATTCTTCAGAATTTAGATATTGTCCTGTGAAACCTGACAATGCTTTGTTTTATCTAAACTTCGACTTACTTGAGCTTTACTTCCACTTGACGAGGCTTTCCAGTTTCTTCACAAATGGCTCCTCCACTATAGAGTTGTGACACATGTCTGTAACACAGAAAAAAAATCTTCAATCAATAATAATTTGTCTTAATCATGAGTAACAGGCAAACCACAAGTTAGACCTGTTTCCTTATTTTTTATTTTAAATTAAAAATCCTTCAATAAATCAGTTCTAAATGAAACAAAAGAAGAAAAATGAAATAATGTACATTAAAAAAAATTTTAGTTCTGGTTTTCATCTTACAATAAATGTTTCAAGATGACCAAAATTGTTTAAAAATTATCACAGAGTGTAATATGGAAATATAAAAGGAGGGAAATAAACTATTTACTATGACTACAAACATTGGGGTCTTTAGGAAAATTATTAGTTTCAACTTGATAAATCTCAATATATCAGTAAATACTTCTCCATAATGTGCTATAGAGACTTGATAGTCTTAGCAAAAATTGCTTATTAAATAAGTATAATAAAGACAAGTAGGAATTGATATGTATACGTAACCTAGCTATAGTGATATAGAAAGTTTTAATGCTGCAAAAAGTATTGAAAAAAGAAAGTAAAAACTACAAAAATCGAGTTACTTACAAGTAAGAAACTTTTATCCCTAGTTTTGGAAATCACTGTAATGATGTTAGTTCTGAGCCAAAGTAGGGATAACATTTTTTCAATTTTAACTGAGTTTGTAGTTTTGACTTTTTTTGTTTCAATACTTTTCGTAGCATTAAATGTTATAATTTTCCTAAATAAAAATGTCTGACAAGTACTTCCCTCCACTCACAAGATTAGCTTTTTTCGTTTTGTGCTGTCCTCTGTATGCAAATCTTTTCAGAAACACATTCCACAAGCCTTAATTATCCCAACACGTCTCTCATGCAACACCTCTCCACCAATTGGAGGGTACTACTATCACGTGATGCATGTAACTCCCTCTACGCACCACTACCAAACTATTACTTTAAAGTTTGGCAGAAGACGTGAGAACCAGAAGATTGTGGAGAGGATGGGTGGGAAGTGTGATGAAGGGAAGTACATATCGGAAATACATGTTCATTTAGGAATATTATAACTTCTGATAAGGTACTCTCCCTCTTCTCACAAGATTAGCTTGAATCCCACAGTGAATGGAGGAGGGACCAGTGCGAGAGAAGCACAGGTGCTTCCAGAGGACACCCCCGAAATAAGAGGAATAGATCAGATGATCTGAGGAGGGGCACCTCACTACATGTGAGCCAGGCATCTCTTTGACAGGAATATTGACACAATCAGGATGACCAGACATGGTGGAAAATGAAGGGAGCACATCCGTGTGGGAGAGGATAGTTTAGCAATGTGATCTGAAAGAGAAATCACTCATTCCCATGATGGAAAGTGGGCAAGTGAGGATGAGGATCATACTGTCTTCACCTCAAGTCCCAGAGTCAAGAGGGAACCTCACGTTCAACTCCAGGAACTCACAGGGTAGCCTAATGTCAGGGATCTGGGAATGTGTCATCAAGAGTCTGAGGGAAGTCCATCGCATGCACTCAACCCCCATGACCATGAAACCACCTCAAAATGATTCCAGGTCAGTAACAAGCTTGTCACTCAACAAGGGAGAACCCAGGACAGGAGCAGAAACAGGCCATGTAGACCTTCTGTGACCCACAACACAGAAGACAAGTCGAGAGGGGGAGATGGACAACACGAAACCTGCATGAGGACTTATGTGATTGGTTCACTCGATCTCCAAATCCTCACTTGCTGGGTACCGACATCCAGGCAAGGGTTGGAGGAGGGCACCCAATTGGAGGGGGTGTCTCAACTACAGGAATTAGTTACTCATCTGGAGGATCGTGTAACTTTCTCTACACTAGCAGAACACCACCACCACCCTACTCTGAACTGAATGGTTATACCCATCTTTGTGGAACCCATCCAGCAGGTTGTCTTCATGGTCAACTACTGCAGCGGCTTGGAACTGGTAAGGACTCCCATACTCCACTGGAAGAAAGGGGAAAAAGTGAGGTGGAGAGTCCAGAGGGACTGCAACATCCGAGACATTGCAATAGGTTATCATGAAATCCTATTTTTAAAGGTAGACCACCCCGATTTATTCAATTTAGGCATGGCAGGGATGGGCAGCAATTCCCTTCTGCTTTACCCATGCTGTTCATAGGTGGTATGGTCTGGGACAGGCATTTAATGATGCAATTATCATGAGGAATTTTCACTCTAGTGATTTTGTGAAACACCCCATCTTAGGGGTTAGTGTACAAAGCCATGGAAAATGTATAAGAATCAACATGGTTTGCAGTGCAGATTTGATAGCAAGATGTCTGCAAATGGTTATAGCCATTTAAGTGGAACCCATTCCAAGTACAGACAGAATACCTGGTCAGGTACCACTTGCCACAGAGCAGGATCCAAAGTGAAGATGAAGTAGGGGCCTCTGAAAGAAAGGAAAGCATTAGTAAGGACTTACCTTGTGTCACAGCCATGCCAAAGTCTGTAGAATAGCCACAGGCAGCAGTTTATACCCCAAGAAAGCAGACAAAGTGATGTGGTGTAGGTAGTGGGAAATGAACATGTGTAGAGTCGTGAAGCTACTCTGCAAGAGAAACTGGAACTCCCCACCAAGGACCTGACAAAAACCAGGAGTGAAGATGGAGGATGGACAGCACAGGATATTGCACCAGTGACTGGAGTTGGAAGGGAAGAGGAGGGACCACCTGCAGTTGAAGCAACTGAAGTAACCAAGGTTAAGCAAGCCAGTAAGGAGTAATCAGAAAAATTAGTAAGTTAGTAAATGTAGAATGTTGATGGGCCAAGGCCACCTGCGGTTCCAAAGACTCAGAAACTGAGTCAAACACCTAATGCTGCCATGCAGAGGTCTCTCAGAAAAGGAACCTGGAGACAAGTCCGTGCCAAAATTGCATCACGACCCAAGAGGTCCCAACAATGAACAAAACATGTTTGAAGCGCAAGAGCCGAAAAGATGACAGACGAGCCAACATAGAAGTAAGGATGGAGAAGACTTCAGCAGAAAACCCCTCAGGGTTCCTGTGAAGAGCCTCTGACAAAAGGTTAAGGGAGGAAAGGTACCTTAACAG